TCTTCAGGAACATACACTTTCGTTAGGATATTAAAGACGACAATGGAAATATGCCTTCTGACAACCACCAAACCGTAATATGTATTAGCAGATAAATGTATCACTGGAAATCGTGAACGTGAATTGTTGGTGAAAATGATTCTACCAAAATATTTCACTAAAAAAAATAATTTTGGGCGGGACGAAGTTCGCCGGGTCTGCTAGTAAATATATAAAAACACCATGGTGTTTGATTTTTTACGTAACAGGTTATATGTGAAAATTAAAGGCAATTTTCAGTTTTATTTAGGTAAAGTATTGAATTGTATTACTAATTAATAATTTTTTTTTTTAAATGTTGTTTATAAGCAAAATTTGTTATTTTTTTCCCTTTAAGTGTTTTTCTCAAATTTTTATATACGAAGTACGCAAATATGCATATCAAAAGAAAGGGGGTTTAATCGCCTTTACAACGGTATCAACTATTTAACAATTTGTTGGTAACTTTTTTATTTAAAATATTTTTTTTTAATAAAAAAAGTATTTTTTTTTATTGAGATTTTTCTCAAATTTTTCTATTCAAAGTATACAAGTATGCATTTCAGATGAAAGGGGTATAATCGCCTTACAGCGATACCAATTTTTTAAAAGTCGGTTAGCATTTTTTGTCTAAAATATTTTTTTATAAAAAAAGGGATTTTTTCCCTTAAAAGTTTTTTTTTTTTAATTCGTATGTACGAAGTATACAAATATGCATGCTAAAAGAACGGGGGTTCAATCGCCTTTACAACGATACCAACCTTTTAAAAATCGGTTAGTAAATTTTTTTGAACACTTTTTTATAAAAAAAGGTATTTTTTCATTTAAATGTGTTTTTTCACAAAGTATACAAATATGCATATCAGAAGAAAGGGGATCTAATCGTCTTTACAACGATACCAAATTTAAAAAAAAACTGTTAATTTTTTTGTTTAAAATATTTTTTTTTATAAAAAAAGGCATTTTTCGTTTAAATGTGTTTTTTCTAAAATTTGTTTATACGAAGTATACAAATATGAGTACGTATCGAAAGAAAAAGGGTTTAATCACCTTTACAACGATATAAAGTTTTTAAAAATCAGTTCAAAATTGTTTGTAATATAAGGAATTCAATTTTTCGAAGACCTGAATTTTGTCCCATATTTTGATACACACTTTTACTAAGTGAATTCTCCATGATAAAACCTCCTCTGGTGTTTTCTTTGTAATTAAAACTGTGGGTAGGTTGAATAATTTTCTAAGTTTCTGAGATGGTCCTGGACATTTCAGTATATTGTCGAGTGCGAAGCATAAATTCGAATTTCCAGAACGTCTGGATGCGTACCGACATGCCATCATAATTCTTAGAGGATCATGCTGTAATTTGGCACTAATTTCAGCAACTTCTCGACGTTATGAACGGCAAGATTTCGCAGAAAATTCCATAAGAGGACTAAGTTTAGGAGATACTTCAGATTTGTTTTCATCAATTTCAGAAATGTATATACAAAAATCAGAGCTTAACCATTCTGAATTCATTGCTTAATATCTGTCTTTCATCCTTTTCGCGCTTTCAAATATTTTCAAATGTTTACATTTTAACGAGGATGGGGAATTTTTGAAACTTTTAAGATCTTCGACTGAGATAATGTCACATTGATTTTAGATAAAATTTCAGAAGTAGAAACTGTAATGTCACCATTTCTCAAAATAGTTTCGAGAATTTCTCGTTTTGCTAATTTCGCCATTATTAAAGAAAAATTAAATAAAAATATGTATGTTCTTCCGTTACCTCAAATCTAGGTTTGCGTTGTTACCAGTTGCAAATGCCAGTTAACAGGCACGATTCGGATTGCACAACACAAACCACGCTGTCAACACACAGCGAAACATCGAAAATAGTGCGTCAAGTAAAACTATGCTGCACATACTGGTACCAATATAAATTTATTTATTTATTTAACAAATGTCAAATCTACAAGGTAATACATTTATTGTTAAATCATAAATTCTGCTCGTATTGCTAAAATCAACACTAAATATGCTTAACTGCACGATAAAATGTTAAATGCATTCTAAAGAGATATAGCGACGAATACTTTTATATGAGCGGAAAACAAATTATGAATTCGGGCAAAAATGGGCCGTTTTTTTTTAGGTAAGGGTCTAATGAAGAAACTGTAATCAAAGTAAATCCGATATTTAGTGGAGTTTCGGGAAGTTTGCCTTCGGTAGTACCACAAAACCGAAATATTTATATTTGGGGGAATAAAACTTTGTAGTATTTTCCAAAATTGCAATGAATTAAATTAAATTTAGATTTTTTTCTGCCCATGAGTAAATGTAACCGAAAAATTAAAGGATGAATTAAATTCATCCAAACAATAATTAAGTAAATAGCAAAAAATACCAACTAGTATGATGAAATTTAAACTAAGTTTTCCAACTTCGTGCAAGTGTAGATTAAGTATGCATTATCGTAAGCCAAAAAAAATTGCACGGAAACTACTTTCATCATTACTGGTTCAAATGGTATATTTCGTTTTATTAATTTCCGAAATTGACTTTTGGCCATCGAACTAAGTTACCTGGCCCATAGTGCACTGGGTTGAACATGTGAAATAGTGGAAATAAGCAATAAGAATTAACAAGGCGAACTTAGCACAGTACGTAGGCAACTGGCTGAGTCAGTGGGATCGTCGGCTCGAATCCTACTGAAAGAAGTCTGATGAGGAAATGTGGTGATTTCCGAAATAGCTATCACTTCTACAATTTTTTCAAATTATTGTTGCTTTTCCACAATAAAGTTTCATTAAAAAACGGCCTCGAGCTCAATAAAAATTGTTGAATATAATTGTTATAAGGCCATAAAATAACAAAAACAAATAACTTAAGGACGAGCACACCTAAAAAAGTTAAACATTCTAATAATAGAAATATTAATAAAAACCAACAACCACATGATCAAGTGAATTGCAGCGGAATAGCTGCGCTTGATTGTAGTTGGCTGAACATGTGAAATAGTGGAAATAAGCAACAAGAGTTAACAAGGCGAACTTAGCACAGTGCGTAGGCAACTGGCTGAGTCAGTGGGATCGTCGGTTCGAATCCTACTGAAAGAAGTCTGATGAGGAAATGTGATGATTTCCGAAATAGCTATCACTTCTACCATTTTTTAAAATTATTGTTGCTTTTCCACAAAAAAGTTTCATTAAAAAACGGCCTCGAGCTCAATAAAAATTGTTGAATATAATTGTTATTAGGCCATAAAATAACAAAAACAAATAACTTATGGACGAGCACACCTTTGAATTTTAATATTATTTTTTTTTCGAAATTCCCATAAGCGGACATCTCCCATAGGCGGACAAAAAGTAAGTGAACATCGGTGTCCGCTTATGGGAGCTTTCACTGTATATACATACATAAAAGCTATTATTCTGACCTTTTTTTACCTGGAAATCTTATCTTAAGTATAAAAGCCAGCAAAAATAAATGTGTTTAGCGCTGTCAAACGCCATTTTATTTATTAAAAGAAATGGTAGGAAAGAAGCCATTTTGGTAGGTTTTTGAACCAGTTCTTGGTAGGAAAGAAAGTTTTTCTGTGGTAACCCTGATAATGAGATATATGAACTTTAAAACGATATTGACATACGTGGCGCGTATCAATGCACTGCGGCCACGCGGGCTAAGCCATGTCCTACGAATGGATGCTTATACTTGGACTCCTCCACGTATGAAACACAGCTTGATTCACATGTACATATTGTACAAATACATAGTTTTGGTTGTTTAAAAACTGAGTGCAAAATGTTCCAAGACAATTTGTATCTATTATTTTTTTCTTAAAAGATTGGAAATATGCAGAACATGAAATAATTATGCATAACAACCCTCGAACGATTGCAGCTTGCAGCATTCAGTCATTTTCATATGTATGAGCGCCTGGTATTGGGAAATAAAAATATCGCTTTGTACAAATATAAATTTAGTTCGTTACATAAAATTGACCGCAAGTTTCCTTAAAAAACATGCAGTTGGTTTTAAAAAGCATTGACTGAATATGTAAGCTGGTAAATTGTAGCAGTGGTAGAAAAGCAGAAGAAAAACGATTATTTTCTAGTGTCAAGGCATATTTTTCAGTGTAGTACTGAATGATCAAAAGTGTCTTGCGTTTTAAAAATTTATATGACCTTGTGTAAGAAAATGGATTTTGTGTTTGAAAATGGGAAGATTTAGCACTTCTTAAAAGTCTTTAAAGGAAAATTTTAAAAATACCAGTCAACCAAGCAAGTAGCGGAAAAAAGAATTGTAGAATAAATACGTACACGACTGCTTGGCGAAAACCTCGGCTTAAAAAACGAGGGCGTGAGTGTACGTCACTAACGCGCCCATCCCTACTGCCTCCTCTGGAAGTAAGTATTTGCGGTAGAGCACTGGAACTTGGTATGGGGATATACGAAATTAATGCAATAACTACCCATAAAAAAATGGGGGTTAATGGAAAAGGGCACGTGGCATCTCCCATTGAGACTGAATTTTCTGTTAAAAAATTAACTTCAATTCAAAGTATTTGATAAGTTATACTATGTCTCAATTGTGAGATTTAATGGAGATTTAGTCCCTGACGAGATTTAAAATCTTTCAAGATTTACCATGACTCAAGTTTTCTGAAGTGGGAACACTAAAAATCAACTTGTTCAACCTAAACATCTTGCTGTAGAACCTTGAAAATTTATTGATGTAATTTATCATTCTTAAAAATTTTTTCCAAAATTCCTAGTTTATTATAAGTTATAAACAAATGAACTTTTATAAAAACTTTTTGACGTGTATACATCTGTGGTTTCGGTAGGGGTAAAATTTGGGAAAGCTGTAACGCATAGCCCAGCAGAAACTTTCGAATGTGTATTGCAGTAGAAAATTTTTAATTTCATTATAAGCACCCTGTTTTTACTTCCTGTTGCAAATGGTTGCATGCATTTAGGCATATGCAGTGTTACTGATTAAAGCATTATACTTTTATACAAAACTGTAATTGCACTAATTTTCATTAGATTACAAAACTGTATGTACGTACTAAACTTGAATTGTCCAGTCGTACAAAAGAAATTGTTTCGTTATATTTCTACCAAAAAATACAACCGTGCCTAAAATGTAAACGCTTTTGAATTGACCGAAGCGTGCCCTCGGAGTTCACTTACGGACGAGAATTCAAACGCGTACGAGGCACGAAAAGATATTAAAACCTCTTACTTTAACTTTTATCGAAGTATTATTACAAACAAAACATTAAAGCGAACTCGGTTACAGTGTCGTTATTTATATTTTCGAACGCCTCGTATATTCGAGCTGAAGTTGCTTTTGCCTGCAACATCTTTTTATATCTTTTCTATCTACGTAATAATTGCGTGATGTATATTTTCGCAAAATTGTGAACTTCGTTAATGAAACCTTCGAGTAATCCCGCCTGCGTGAAATCTGCCGGAGAAACACCTCGTTATAACCTTCGTAATAGAAGACACGCGTCGAACATTTTCGAAGCTAAAATGACCGAAATCAATAGTGGACAGAGTTCCTGTAGCGACGACGAGAACGATCGCACAGTAGTTCAACAAGACGAAGTGATTGAGGCGTTACGCGAGCAAATAAAAGGCTTACAAAACTCGCTAGCCTCGTCGGAGAAGGAAAGGGCCCAGTACATGGAAGCGCTAAATCGCCAAACAGCTAACAACGTCACCAGTGCCGACGTACCCAGCATCGAAGCTATCTCTGCCAGCTTCAAGCCTGCCGAAGCTACCTTTTCCAGCTTCACAACAGATTTACCCGCATCCGACGTATCCTCTCCCCCCTACAGTCTAATAACCTGCCCTTCAAATACATATCAGACAAGTTCCAGAAATTTCACAACAACCAGCACTACCTCAGGAAGTGCTAACCCCGCCGGTGCTAATTCTGCCATCGCTACATCTGCAGCCGCTAGTTTTGCCAGCGCTGCTACTGCTAGCACCAATTATGCCAACGCTATTTCGGCCAGCATAAATTATTCAAACGCTAACTCTGCCAGCGTTAATCCTCTTTATGCCAGCGCTACCATACCTGCCAGCGTTAATTCTGCCAACGTCAAAGCCGACTCAGCATATGGCGCTTATATGCGGTCTGCCACATACCGGCCAGCAATAATGCAGCCACAGTGCCACACAAACAACCCTTATTGTGTTAATTTTCCGCCAGCAAACTTTGTGCCTGCTACAATGCCTACAGTGTACAACACGCAAAGTACACCTCACATCATCAACCACAACGCACAAACAGCACCCAGCACGAGCCAGGTACACCCTCCTTGGAGTCCAGGATACCATCAACCTACACGTAAGATTTTAGACTTGCCAGATTTCCATGGTTCGCCTGAAGAGTGGCCCATGTTTTCTGTAGCCTTTAAGGAAACCACGCAGATGTATTCGTACTCCCAATTGGAGAATCTGTTACGTCTCCAGAAAGCCCTAAAAGGGAAAGCCAGACAACAAGTGGAGTCACTACTAATCCATCCGTCCAGTGTGGATGCGGCCATGAAAACATTGGAATGTCACTACGGTCGCCCAGAGTTACTTATTAGAAGCCAAATAACGAAAGCGCGAGCCTTTCCACCTGTCACCGGAGGACGAATTGCCGATATTCTCAATTTTAGTTCGATGGTGTCGAACTTAGTTGCATTTTTGGAAAATTCGGGTGCAACTCCACACCTGAATAATCCAATATTACTCGACGAGCTAGTCAGCAAGCTTCCGCTGAACAAGAGGGAAGAGTGGACTCGCCACATCTTCGAAATGCAGAAGCCGTATCCCACAGTGCGTGAGTTTTGCAATTGGCTGCAGAACACCGCCATGTATGTGTCCATGGCAATAGATGTTATGCCAACAAAGTATATGCCCAACGATCCTGTGTACCACAAACCTAAAGTGCCATCTAAGCCTGTAATGACTGTAACAAAAGAGAAAAAGTGTTTAATATGTGACCAAAGCCATAATCTAAATCAATGTCCGAAATTTAAAGATGCCGATTATTCCAATCGCTGGAATATAGTCAAAAATAAACATTTGTGTTTTTGTTGTTTGCAGCCTGGTCACAGTGTGCAAAACTGCCGCAAGCGACGAGTGTGTGGTATATCATCATGTAATAAATTCCACAATCGGCTACTTCACAAGTCCAGCGACAATAATAAAAGCAATATTTCATCAGACGATACAGCTGTTGCAACTGTTCAAACTGTGTATCAAAATCCACAACATCCACTCGCTCGATCAAGGGGGGCGATCGATCAAAAGCCCCTGATATTTACGTTATGTGTGCCATGATATTTGGATCGATTAGCTCACCATGTTCTGCGCAATTTGTAAAAAATTTACATGCAGAAAATATCGTAATCGAATGCAAGCGCTGTCGATGCCATTGTTGACCGGCACTATGTCGACGATTATATGGACAGTTTCGACACTGTCGAAGAATGTACTAAGGTAACCAAAGATGTCATCGATATTCATAGCCGCGCTGGATTCGAGTTAAGGGGATTGGCGTCAAACTCAAATGTCGTCCTGCAAAGTATAATACACAATGCGCAACCGTGTGTGCAACAAAACCATTGCATATGCTGAGGGGAGAGTGCTACCGAAAAGGTGCTTGGTATGCACTGGAACCCAAACGAGGACCACCTTTTCTTCAAGTTGCTATTTTCAAAAGTGCCAAAAGCAGTTTTAGACTGTAGTAGGCGCCCAACGAAAGGTGAAATGCTGAGCGTTACTATGTCCATATTTGATCCGTTTGGTTTTGCTTGCGGAGTGGTGCTGCGAGCAAAAGTGTTGATGCAGAGTCTGTGGCACAGGAGCATAGACTGGCATGAGCCAATCCCTGAAGACATCTATAAGAAATGGCTGCAGTGGTACAAAATGTTAAACAACATCGAAAATTTTAAAATGCCAAGATGCTATGGAATACAATTTTTGAATCCGAATGCCGACATACAACTACATGTATTTGTTGATGCGAGTGAGATCGCATTTGCTGCCGTTGCCTTTTGGCGAATTCACTACGCAAATGATACAGACGTCGTATTCGCTGTAGGTCGATCCCGGTGCAGCCCGCTGAAGCCATTGTCCATTCCAAGACTGGAGCTACAATCAGCCGTCTTGGGCATACGATTGAAGGAAGCTGTCATCAACAATCATGACGTGCAGCCACATAAGGTAACATTCTGGTCAGACTCGAAGATAGTTCTTCAGTGGATAAGGTCCGACGCCAGGTGCTACAAGCAGTTCGTAGCGCACCGTATAGCTGAAATCCTGCAATCATCCGAAGCCAGTGAGTGGAGGTGGGTGCCAGGTAAGGACAACCCAGCCGACGATGCAACGCGTATAAAAACCTTTTTTCAAAATTGTAAGTGGTTAAATGGTCCACCCTTTTTGAAATTGCATGAAAGCAATTGGCCAGCTATGCCAAACGATTATAATCATAACGAATGCCAAGAAGAGAGACGCTCCAAGCAAATATATTCAGTAGCATTTGCAGATATGCTTATTCCATTTAACAAGTATTCGAATTATTATAAGTTCTTAAGGGTAATGACATGGGTACGATATGCCATGATGAAATTTCGTAAGGTCCCCGTTGGCGACAATGCGAATACATCGAAACTAATTACCGCGAATGGAATTAAGCAAACTGAATTGCTGATATGCCTGTTGGTGCAACAAGAAGTTTTTTTCGACGAAATTGAGTCTTTGCGCAAAGGTTCGCCAATTAAGAAATCCAGCAGTCTCTTCAAGCTGAGCCCAATGTTGGACAATGAGGGCATTCTGAGATTGGGGGGCCGGATAGACTACGCCGAATGCATCCCTATGTCGACGAAGCGGCCACTTATATTGCCAAGGGGTCATCCAATATCGCGACTCATAGCCAAGCACTATCACGAACTTTTCCATCACCAAAATTTTGAAGCAGCAATGTGCGCCATACGTCGGAAGTTTTGGATTCCGAGTGCGCGCCGATTATTGAGGTCAATTAAAGCCGAATGCCAAATATGCAAAAATTTATCCGCTGTTCCCGAAACGCCACTTATGGGCCAAATACCCTGCGACCGAATCACGCCGTTCGTGCGCCCGTTCACATATTCGGGTGTTGACTACTTCGGGCCTGTGCTAGTAGCCATAGGCCGTCGTCAAGAAAAACGTTGGGTTGCACTTTTCACGTGCCTAACTATTAGGGCCATTCATTTGGAAGTAGCTAGGGACTTGTCAACAGATGCTGCCATTATTGTCTGCCGCAACTTCATAAACCGGAGAGGAGTACCGGTGCGGCTCAGAAGCGATATGGGAACTAATTTCGTCGGCGCAAGCAAAGAAGATTGGGTAAGCGTTCAAAGTGGTATGCAATCGGAGTGTGATCGTCGAGGTGTAGATTGGGTCTTCAATGCGCCTGCCAACCCATCTGCTGGTGGCGTATGGGAAAGAATGGTCAGAAGCGTAAAACGAGTTTTGATGTTCACACTTAAGGAGCGAGCGCCACAGTTGGAGACGTTACACAGTCTCCTGATTGAAGCAGAAAATTTGATAAATTCGCGCCCATTAACACACGTTCCGATAGAAAGTACAGACGCCGAACCTCTGACGCCCAATCACCTTTTGTTAGGCTGCGCGAATGAAGTTCAAACTCCGGCGGTGTCAGAGAAAATATGTTTACGAAAGCAGTGGCATATAGTGCAGCAACTGAAACAGACCTTTTGGAAGAGGTGGATACTCGAGTATCTCCCCACCCTAACCCGGCGTACGAAATGGTTTAGGAGGGTGAAGCCTATAGTTGTAGGCGACGTCGTTAGAGTGTGCGACGACAACGAGAGCCGAGGTCATTGGAAACGGGGTATCGTAACAGAAGCAAAACGAGCCGCAGATGGTCAGGTCAGATCTGTTTTAGTCAAGACGTCAACAGGTATTCTGCGGAGACCAGCGTCCAAAATTGCGGTACTTGACGTTCGTAGTGATTCTCTCACCAGTGATGCGAATCACGGGCGAGAGGATGTTACTGATTAAAGCATTATACTTTTATACAAAATTGTAATTGCACTAATTTTCATTAGATTACAAAACTGTATGTACGTACTAAACTTGAATTGTCCACTCGTACAAAAGAAATTGTTTCGTTATATTTCTACCAAAAAATACAACCGTGCCTAAAATGTAAACGCTTTTGAATTGACCGAAGCGTGCCCTCGGAGTTCACTTACGGACGAGAATTCAAACGCATACGAGGCACGAAAAGATATAAAAACCTCTTACTTTAACTTTTATCGAAGTATACAAGAAGTTACAAATAAAACATTAAAGCGAACTCGGTTACAGTGTCGTTATTTATATTTTCGAACGCCTCGTATATTCGAGCTGAAGTTGCTTTTGCCTGCAACATGCAGAGTAAGAGGAATTGCGGTAAAACTGATTATTAATTCCGATAAGGCAAATTCCGCGCATGCATACGTTTTTGTACCTATGTATATGTATACATACTTAAGGTGGTGTTTACATACATATGTATGAACTCATGCAAGTAATTTTGATATTTGTAGCATAGGACCGTTGATAACTGATGAACATACATGAATATATGTATATATACATATGTATGGATGATATAATAGCTCTGATCTAATACTTTTCGTGTAAAACCCTGTAAAAATGTTAAACAGCAAAATTACTCTCTTAAGTGAGAGTAAAAAGTGAGAAGCAGAAAAAGTACGGGAACAAAAAAGCGTCGGGTAAAATCTTGCAACTTCATTCTCTTCACAACTCTCCAAAAATCGCTCTCATTTACATTATTTTGGAGTACGGGATAATTTTTCCTGTAACTTCCTGCAAGTTCGTGTAGAAACCTGTAAGTTCATTGAGTACTGGATTGCACAAAGAGAAGACGAAAGTAAGAGGAAATACCGAATAAATGAATTTAGCTTCCCAACTCGCAAACAAAAGATGGTATGTATTCATGACTTTAACGTAAACCTAGCGACAGATGAAGCAGACCCACAGTTTATATTCCAAAAACAAAAACTAAACTTAGGAATATATACAAATACTAGCAGATCCGGCGAACTTCGTCCCACCCAAAATAAATTTTTTTTATTGAAACATTTTGGTCCAACATTTTCACCAACGGTTCCCGTTCATGATTTTCAGTGACGCATTTATCTTCTAATATTACGGTTTGGTGGTTGTCAGAAGGCACATTTCAATTTCCGTCTTAAATAACCTAGCAAAACTGTACATGCATACAAAGATACGTAATAGCTTCCGTGCGTTTGAAAGGCACCCATCCCCTTTTCAAATAGCCCCAATTTTCTCTAAGAGTATGGGATTGATTTCATATATCTCCTTACCATTTTCCAGTAATCTACCATGAACGCTTCCAGAGATATGCAATATGATAAATTCGGTTTGTATGGGAGGTGCCACGCCCCTGCACCTAGCGGTATGAAATATACTTTACATCCGATTCTCATCCCTACCATATATACACAAAAAATTTCATAAAGCTCGGTCGAGCTGTTTAGGAGGAGTTCGACCACTAACACCGTGACACGAGATTTTTATATATTAGATAAATGCTCAAACTACAAGCTCAAAAACAGTAATTGATGCGGTGTTTTCAAGATATTTTAACTCCCTTGAGTCACAGGTATATACAAGTCATATTTTATCAATCATACCGATAATTTCATGCATTAAAAGAATTAAAAATGAAAATGAATACAAAAAATTAAAAAATTAAATCAGCATACTGAATAAATTTAAATGAAATAAATGTTTAATTTCTAACCTAACCTACATGTGTATGTATGTAACTGAATCGCCTAATAATAGGTTTACATATAAAAAAGATTATCCTCATTTTCGAGCTTTACTCCCTAATCTGTAATTAGAAAGAGATTAGCCATACAAAATTGTAACTAAAAATATCTCAGATTAAACCGATAACTTTTTGGTGCCCAACCTAGATTACGCCAGCAAGGAAAAGAGGTTTTTAAAGGTATTTTTAATAAAATACTAAGTTAAAATATATTTAAAGAGCATAATATGTGTAGCAGAAAAAAGTGACCATGGTGGCACAGGGCTTAACTTTACCTCGAGTTGTGAGAATAACAACCACAACCAATTTGGCAGCTAACGAGCTTTGATTGAGATTACATTTATATGTAAACGTACTTTTATGCTTTGGCGTACGCATATGTTTACACATCAAATTTCATGAGTACGCCTTTTTTTCTTAAATTGCTATTTCTCAGTTAATATTTTATGAAGGTTAATGAAATTTTGATCCTATGACTAGAATTTAATTAGAATTAAAGCAACATAAAATAAAAATAAAAAAATTTATTTTTTATCAACAATAAATTTTTTTTTTGTAAACAAATAGAAATTTATCCTACTTATTATATCATTAGAAACAAAATTTTCTTCACCATTTTGTTCTGCAGAATCTCTTGAAATAATTTCAGAAAAAAAAATTTAGTACATTTCATAAAAACAAATTCTACGAATGTTTAACCCTAGAATGTGAGGCGTAACAAATTTTTGTTTTTGCGACATTTCCAGATCGTTCTCTCATATCAAAGCGTGCTTTCGTGCCAACTCAGTTAGGTAATGTAAAAGCTGGTGTGCAGTACGCGTTTAAAAACTGTGATCTACTAATATGACTGTAACATATAAAAAAATAATAGCTTTTTATTCATTTTTGATACAAATGATATAGTAAATACGTTTTTGTTTTTGTTTAAATAACTTTTTTTTATAAAGGTGAAATATTCGTTTTTTATAAAGGTAGCCTCGTAGGCTACGTAGCGCTCTAGTTTATCTAGTTTATCATTCCAGCAGCAGTGGTAAGCAAAAATTTAACTTCTACGAAATAATAATTAAACGCTACTTAGGTTTAAATGCCGTTTAAGTTTAATTTATACTTATTGAGAATATATATGTATAAGGTGGTGTTGTTTCATCAGCTGTGAATAGGGTTGCCAGATTCTGAAACGGAGAATTCGATAGAAAAAGCAGTACAAACATAAAAATATTTATTTTTTTTTGCAGTTTATTGTTACAAATTACCAAAAAGTAAATATATGTATAATCACTAGAGCTCGGAATCTCATGCACTAAAAAATCGAAAATATGCGCATATAAATATATATGCACTCAAAATTGAAAAATATGCGCTATGAACAAGTAAAATATGCAATTAAAAATATTTTCCCAACAATTTACTTCAAAAAACAATATATCGTTATCTGGAATGCGAAAAGACGCAACAACATCGTAACAGAAATGGAAAAAGCCGTGGCTACAAATTTTTATTTTTTTCATTGAATGATGTGGGAGTTGTCATTCGATGAAATCCATCATATCAATCAAAAACTGAATTTTGAATTTTTTATTAGTTAGACTTTTTGAATTTCAGCGGCGATGTTTGTTACGTCTTTTTGCTTTTTAGGTGACAATATATTTATGTATAAAATTAGTTTATAATCAAACAGACAATTACAATCATGTGTAAATATGTAGAAACTTTGATATTTTAATAGTGATCCAGGTTAGGGATGTTGCGAATGTGGAATTCGCATCCGCGGATGTCTAACAGCTAACATCCGCGAATGCGAATGTCAAGTATTTTTAAGAAACAATTAAATTAAGTAAGTAAATGAAAAAATAGTAATATTTAATGTTTATTTTATTAAGTAATTGAATTTTAAAAATTGGAATTGGATTTAATAAAAAGCAATGAGAATTGCATCGTGGCTGAAAATGTCGGATGTGTCCTCCTAACTTTCATCTTCACTTGAAGAACCTAGGATAATGGCGAGATCGTTGTTTAAACCCCGCTTACAAGCCAAACCAGATGTGTCAGGTTTTTCTAAAACTTTTTAAAAAGAATTCTTCATTCTGATTTCTTTGGCTGTTTCGGAATTTGGTTAACCTGCAACGCCATCAGCGTTTTTTTGATTGTAATTTTTGTAATTCATTTTTAATACTTTCTTCTGCGATTAGTTTGAAAAAATTGTGCTTATAGCGAGCTAAGTGTGTAGGTGGATATTAATATTTTCCAGGAATGAAAATTTTGAACAAAATTCTGTTTTCAAAGTCGTGGCTGCCATTCGAATCGGATCAGAATATTGGTATTTTTTTATAAACATTTGAATTATTGGAATCACGGATGATGAGGGTCCCAGATAGTTACGTAATTACCTAATTAAAGGTCAGACCTACAGTTTTTAATTATTTGAGCATTGATTCTCATTATAGCCAAACGTTGACCATTTCTGCTGGAAATCCCTATTAAAGGAGCTTACTCTTTGACTTTAAATAGCGAAGAAGGAATACGTAGAGGGAGAGTTTTAGCACAGAAGTTTTTAGTCAAGCATCCAATGTGTATCCCTATGAAAAAGATATTACCCAACAAGTAAACAAAATTACTGTTTTTGAAATTTTTGCAACAAAAACAATTCCCCAAAAAGCCCCATTTGAAATGGTTGAAACGAATATATGTAACATCAAAAGCAAATCACGCAAATGTGGTTTAAAATTACAGTGCACACTTTCTCCTTTTACGTCTAGTAGCTTTTTTAAGATTGGTCCAAAAAAATCATAATGAAGAAAGAAACCAATTCAGGTATTAAAAGCACAGAAAAAAAGAATATTATTAAAAGGACAATGTTCTCTTTGACGTACGTCAAAGGTCAAGTA